ATGGACGAATGTTCGACAGGGTCAGGCAAACAGTTTCAAAAGTGGGAAGGACCATATATGGTCACTTCGAGATGGGGTTACGCAGACACAGTCGCAATGGCGAACAATGAGAGGCGCGTGAACGTCAGCGAGCTCCAGAAATGGATACAGCGAGACAAGCCAACGATGACGCCTGCACCAAGTAGATCACACCGACTTCAGTCGCACGTATTTGACGGGGGGACGAGTGTGGTGAGAGCAGGCTGCTAGCCGATTGGTTGGCACTAATCTACGTTAAGGTCTAGGTCACTAATATGGGCCGTGAGAAAATATGAACAAGCCTGAGTCAACAACCAATCACAGCAAAGTTAACGTGGCAAAATATGATTCGCAGAGAGAACTCTATTTGTCAAGGAATCCCGAAACAACCAATCAGAAGCCTGCGTTTGTCTACCTAAACAACCAATCAGATGACTGCGCTTGTCTATAATAATGTAGTTGAAAGATGTATAAATACGTGTTGATTTTCATAATAAAACGATCTGTTGCCTGGCCCTTGTCTTCTGTTGTTACACCATGTCATCCATTAAAACAGATTATTCTGTGTAAATATGCACATACGTGCATGTTATTAGTATTCCCTTGCGTTTCAAGTGGAATATAGCGATTCAACAACACAGCTCCACCTTGCTTTATTTCTTGCTGTTCTCTTCAGTTGCATCTGAGATTGTTTAGCTGAACGTTTGTCTACAGTAGAGAGCTAAAACTCTAGTTGACTTAGCTTGATGAACAGACAAAGTTTGTTTGAGGATTTCATCATGAGCTGACGTCACTTAGAGAAATGATGAAATAACCCAAAAAGTCAAAACAAAATCTCTACAAAAATCAATACTTGAAAAATGGATCTGATGCTCATTAGCGACTGGCCTTATTCAGGTAGGCAGTGACCTGGGGTTCCAGTGGGAAGCTGTGACCAGTAGGGTGCAGAAGGTTAAAAGTGAGGCAGTGACTTATCGAAGGAATTATTGCGAAGTGGTCGCGCTACATCATGAATTGGCAGAAATTAGAATTCATGGGCGGGCCATTGGATCAGGTGACAGTGACTTAATGGTCTACGAGCTCGCTAGCCTTGTAACCAAACGGTCCTGGATTCAAATCCTGGTGGTGGGCGCGTACTGCTGAAGAGTCCCAAACTAGGACGGCGGAAACAGATATCCAGTACTCCCTGCAAGTTTTCCAATGCTTCTCTAACTGATATCAGCTCATGATGAAATCCTCAAACCAGTCAGTCGAGATCCCTCCGAAATCCAATGCTTGAAAAAACTAAGTTTTTGCTGATGTAACTATTTTATGCACTAATGTATTATATGATGATGATAATTATAATGGAGACAAATTATTATTATAATCCGCATGGGTTCCAACTGAAACATAAAAACATCAACAGCAAGCTCCAATTTGGTCTGTTAAGTGAGGCCTCCTTCAGCCGGCAATAAAATAGCCCGTAAAATGACGTCCTTCTACCTGGGTGACACGCAGTGAAAGCTCCCGACACATATAGAAAGACTGACTAAAAATCTGGCAAGCTAGTAAACTAGGTGAGGTTATATACGTGTAAAGAATAGTTAAAATTGACAGACAGTCAGCATCCATGCGTGTGTGACATGGAGAATACCATGCAAAAGGGAAATGCTACCCTGTGAGAACTAAGGCAGCCGGCTAGGAGTGATCATATGAAATTAAGTGAAACGAGGATATGCTGATGAAGCCCCACAATCCACTAGAAACTCATGAGGTGAATAGAAGTGCCTTTATTCCCTCTTTCATTCCGTCGCTTGGTATGTGGCTTTAACCCTCTCCTCTCGTTATGTAGTGTAACTTTGCTTCTACCCTGTTTCTGTGATTTGAGTTCAACCCACCAAACTGTTCTTACTCCTTAATTGATAAGTAGTCACTCATCATCCTACTCGCCCCTTGTCTTCATCACGCAACTCTTTTACCACTGTATGCAAACGTTTATTTCTGTTTAAAATTGACCTCTGTGGGTAAAAGACATTTAAAAGAAATCTTCTGAGTGGTATTTGTTAAGTCTGGAGTCTCCTGTGAGCTGATATCATGTAACATTTGTAGGTATGTTGAAGTGGTTCTGTGCATAAACTTAACAGGGTGTATGCAGCTGGTGAGAATCCAAATGAATCAATGATGAAACCATATTATTCTGCACAAACCGTTGTTCTTCCTTTATTTGTATATGTATACGTATATATAAGCATTTGTTCTGTCACAGTGTTTCACAATTCTGAATAATCTGGAGTGGAAATATGAAAATCACTATTTCTTTAGACATTGCGATTGCGTGACTGCATAAATTATTCCCTTCAATTAATTCTTACATTAAGGGAAACCTTAAAAGCACAGAAAACGTGTAAACACTTTCGTGACTTCAGTCTTTAAGAGAGGTGGTGAAAGAGAAGTGAGATATTCACATGGTGTTTTGTTTTAATATTTCTAATCATTATTATAATCATCTCGGTTTACGAGTGAAGCATACGGCTTCAGCAACACATTTCAACTTTGTTCTATTCGGTGCTGTCCTCTTTAGATGGGTCGACGATTGCCCATAATCTCTCATCTCCTCCACACCACCCTCGGACGATGTCCTTCGATGGTCTACTCAATATACTCAACTTCTGATGGTCAACTTGTCCCATTCTTTTCGGCTGCTGGTCAGCAGCCTAGAAAGTGATATCAAGTAATGGTCTTCCCCGATGTCTGTCCGATTTATCTCGATTTTGTTCAGGATTTACTTTTGATGACAAATTCTTGGCTGCATTGGTAGATTATCAGAGTCATTTGTTTGTTAGGCTTTCTCGATACGTTATCTTAAGCATGGAGTGAAGGCAATTCTTAGTGACAGATTGCAATAGGCTGTAAGAAACGCTTTTCGAGATGCGAGCGCTGAAACTTTGAACAATAGAGAAGCAGTGATTTAGCACTTTTGCTGATGATCTGGATTTTGTTCCTCATCACCTTTGTTTTTTCTGTGTTTCCTTGAAGCCCTGGCTTCGCTCGATTGTTTTCCTGCCAACTTGATGCTTTTCACTTGTAGATCTTCGTGTTTGTGTGACATATTTCAGAGAGACTACGTCTTATTCTGGTTTTCTCAAAATTTGTAACTTAAACTAATTGGTTGAAGGGATTCACTTAATATCTTCTGAATGTTCAGAGCTTTACACAGGTATCGAATCCTTATCTGATCATAGTTCTCTGTCACCTAGTTAACATATAAAGCTCTGTTTGCTGAAGTAACGCAGAAATAACTCATCAAATTAGCAAAGAAACGATTCCAAGTGAACTTAGAGTAGACGGAGGTGATGAAAATAACCGACCAACAGAGAGAGAGCAACAGCAGACACCACTAATCACCATCAACGGGAGAGATTCAACGGAGACTACTTCCTTTGCTAATCTAGATAGTAAGCATTGTTTCAGCTGCAGACAGACGGAACGGATGAAGATGTCAAACCCAGCCAGCCAGCCAGAATCGGAAAGGTAAAATACGCCTTCATCAATGTAAAACCAGTCTGTAAATCTTCAGCACTCCTCTACATAAAGAACAAGACTGGGATTCTCGACGCAGATGTGAAGTCAGTCAGTTAATGCTTCTATACGGGTCAGAAACTTGCAATGCGTGTCAGTCACGAAAAGGATTTCCGACAAGCCGCCACAGACGTTTATCAATAGCCACCGACTTCACTGGCTCCATAATGAAGATCAAGTGGCGAGCCAGCTGGCCAGAACGAACAAGGTACACAAAACTGTGGCTGGGAGCAAACAAACAGCCAAGAGTCGACTGCTCAACAGATATGGAGGAGAAAATAAAGATGGATAGGAGGTAAACTGAGGAGACCATCGAACGAGATGGCGCTCAATGCAGGCCATCACTGGAGTGAAATCTCATTGAACAGTGACGACTTGGTCGTCTAAGGGTGGGCTAAAGGAGATCAGAGATAATGGGCAATCGTCGACCCATCTAAAGAGGACAGCACCGAATAGAACAAAGTTGAAATGTGTTGCTGAAGCCGTATGCTTCACTCGTAAACCGAGATGATTATAATAATGATTAGAAATATTAAAACAAAACACCATGTGAATATCTCACTTCTCTTTCACCACCTCTCTTAAAGACTGAAGTCACGAAAGTGTTTACACGTTTTCTGTGCTTTTAAGGTTTCCCTTAATGTAAGAATTAATTGAAGGGAATAATTTATGCAGTCACGCAATCGCAATGTCTAAAGAAATAGTGATTTTCATATTTCCACTCCAGATTATTCAGAATTGTGAAACACTGTGACAGAACAAATGCTTATATATATGTATATATATATATACAAATAAAGCAAGAACAACGGTTTGTGCAGAATAATATGGTTTCATCATTGATTCATTTGGATTCTCACCAGCTGCATACACCCTGTTAAGTTTATGCACAGAACCACTTCAACATACCTACAAATGTTACATGATATCAGCTCACAGGAGACTCCAGACTTAACAAATACCACTCAGGAGATTTCTTTTAAATGTTTTTTACCCACAGAGGTCAATTTTAAACAGAAATAAACGTTTGCATACAGTGGTAAAAGAGTTGCGTGATGAAGACAAGGGGTGAGTAGGATGATGAGTGACTACTTATCAATTAAGGAGTAAGAACAGTTTGGTGGGTTGAACTCAAATCACAGAAACAGGGTAGAAGCAAAGTTACACTACATAACGAGAGGAGAGGGTTAAAGCCACATACCAAGCGACGGAATGAAAGAGGGAATAAAGGCACTTCTATTCACCTCATGAGTTTCTAGTGGATTGTGGGGCTTCATCACCATATCCTCATTCCACTAGATTTCCTACCATCACTCCTAGCCCGCTCCACATTTTCCTACAAGGTACCATTCCCTTTACACATGATATTCTCCATGTCACACACGCATGGATGCTGACTGTCTGTCAATTTTAACTATTCTTTACATGTATAATAATAATATATAATAATAATAATAATAATCACTTTATTCCACAACAATAACAATTTACAGCATGGAATTTTCAGCGTTTCTTTTACATATTGCAATGGTTTAGCTCTGTTTATAATTATATAAATATATAAAATGTTAAAATATTGATAGTTAATAGGAAAAAATAATAAAAATAAATATAAATAAAAAACCCAACAAAATCATACCATTTCTAGGTCATAGTGAATAATAAATAAATAATATAACAAATAACACTTGCATTAATATGCATCATTACATTTTATAGTTTAGTTACTGATTCAAAAGTTGTAAAAGTTCTTTTCTGATATTTGTCTCTTCACACAATACTCGTGCCAAATATGGAACGGTCGAATTTTTATATTTTGTAGTACGAGCATAAATGTTTATAAAATTTCTTCTGGTCTTACCCGAAGAGATACAAGGAAATAATTGTGAATAAAGAGGATGTTCACTATCAGATAAGATAACTTTAGCTAAGTGTTTACAAGAATTCATATGCCTATTGACAACAGTGTCATTTAGTTCAGTCAAAGGGATAGCACTGACCCTACTTACAGCCCTCAATGTTCTTCGTAGTATTATATGATCTTTCTTGAGTAGCCCAGGGAAGAATAATGGAGAACAATAAAGAATGATGGGCAAAACACATGAATTAATAAATTGTATGATAAGAGATTGAGTTATACCTGAGTGTCTCAACTTCTTTATGTAATAAGTCAGACGGAAAACTTTCTTAGAAACTATAAGAATATGAGACGACCAGCAAAGATTTGACGAGAAACTAATGCCAAGATAAGAAACACTTGACTTACTCTCTATCATGGTACCATCAATATTACAACAATCATGAGATTGAATCAATCCATGCATGACTTTTTCACTTCTCAAGCTAAAATCAACAGTGTTACATTTAGTTGGATTTAGTTTAAGGCCATTTGAGCCAGACCAATCCTTAACTTCAGCTAGGAAGCCATTCATATAGGAACAATCCGATGTGGAAACTACAGGGACAGAAACGGTCAGGTCATCAGCATACTTAATGAAGTTAACTTTGGGTGAGTTCGGAAGGTCATGCAGAAAGAAAGAGAAAAGAAATGGAGAAAGTACTGCACCTTGAGGCACACCACTTTCAGTTAGCTGGGAAGTGGAGCGCTTTCCAGCCAAAACAGTATGCTGTTTCCTATCCTTAAAATAAGAAGACAGCCATCTAGTTGCCCAGGACTCTGTTTGTGCTGAAATCATCTTTCCTAATAAAAGTGTCCTAGAAACAGAGTCGAAAGCTGCAGTATAGTCTAAGAAAGCTGTTCGAACGAACTTAGCGCCCTTATCAAGGCAGGAAACAATATTGTGGTGTAGTACAATGGCTGCATCTAATGTACTTCTTCCACACTTATAAGCAAACTGCTTAGGGTCATTAAAAGCTTTTAAAGAAGGTTTAAGAATATACAAAAGAAGTTTCTCCATAGTTTTCAAAAAAGGAGATGTTATAGCGACTGGTCTAAATTTTATACCTGCTCCAGAAGATGATTTCTGTACAGGTACAACCTTGATTTCTTTCCAGTCAGCAGGTACCGTTTCCCTCTTAAATGATGCGTTAAAGATTTGAGTAAGAGGATGACACAGGATGTCTGCACACTTTTGGAGAAGAATGCTTGGTACACCATCTGGACCAAGGCTGTGTGTTGGATTTAATGACTTCAAACATAATAGTACATCCTTTTCTTCAAAACCCTGAAAATGACCATTTTCTTGACTAGGTACATCAGGTACAACCATATTAATTTGTTTCTTGATAACCTCATCTGGTTTACTAGCTTGCCAGATTTTTAGTCAGTCTTTCTATATGTGTCAGAATCTTTCGCTGCGTGTCACCCAGGTAGAAGGACGTCATTTTACGGGCTATTTTATTGCCGGCTGAAGGAGGCCTCACTTAAGAGACCGAAATGGAGCTTCCTGTGGATGTTTTTATGTTTCAGTTGGAACCCATGCGGATTATAATAATAATTTGTCTCCATTATAATTATCATCATCATATAATACGTTAGTGCATAAACTAGTTACATCAGCACAAACTTAGTTTTTTCAAGTATTGGATTTCGGAGGGATCTCGACTGACTGGTTTGAGGATTTCATCATGAGCTGATATCAGTTAGAGAAGCATTTGGAAAACTCGCAGGGAGTACTGGGTATCTGTTTCCACCGTCTTAGTTTGGGACTCTTCAGTAGTACGCACCCACCACCAGGATTCGAATCCAGGACCGTTTGGTTACAAGGCTAGCGAGCTCGTAGACGATTAAGTCACTGTCACCTGATCCAATGGCCCGCCCATGAATTCTAATTTCTGCCAATTCATGATGTAGCGCGACCACTTCACAATAATTCCTTCGATAATTTACTGCCTCACTTTTAACCTTCTGCAGCCTACTGGTCACAGCTTCCCACTAGAACCCCAGGTCACTGCCTACCTGAATAAGGCCAGTCGCTAATGAGCATCAGATCCATTTTTCAAGTATTGATTTTTGTAGAGATTTTGTTTTGACTCTTTGGGTTATTTCATAACTTCTCTAAGTGACGTCAGCTCATGATGAAATCCTCCAACAAACTTTGTCTGTTCATCAAGCTAAGTTAAAGAGAATTTTACCTCCCTACCGAAGACAAATTTTTAGCTAAACGAGATAAGAGAGCACAAAACGAAAAAATAGATTAACTGTTTTTTGGTGAACTTTATATGTTGCTTTGCTATGGAAAGCATTTTTGACCTTCAGCTAAGATGTATACAAAAACTACAAATAAACTGACCTACACGAATTTCAATTAAAACCAATCAAAACTCTCACATATGGTGGATATCATCAGTAATAAACAGTACAAGTGTTGACCATTAAATTTTTTATTCTTAACAGTTTGGCATTAAATGCTTTTTCATGAACATGTCTCAGGCGTTTTGTGCCTTTTTGACCTCAGTAATCAGACATAAACAAATTAGGGAAATATGTAAGCAAAATATTTTGATGTAGTATACATTTCGCGTAAAATAACATCATATGACTTTGGATTAAACTATCTTCTCTTAAGTGGTAATCAAATAATTTTGTACTCTTTTCCGTGAATTTTTACAAAGACGATTTAGTTTAGTTTCCCTTTAAAAATAGTGTTAAACTGTAAAAATATTTTTTAAATTAACCGTATCTATTCTGACCGGTTTATCGCACTGATAACAGAACGTGATCAAGCTCGTCAAGAAGTACACCGACGTGATATACTTATTTCTGAACTGCATCGTTCTCATGAAGCGGAAATCAAACGCATAAAACATAGGACATGGTGTGAAGTCTGCCTGAATGAAGCATTCTATGATTGTTGTCTTGGGAAAGCCTACTGCTCAAAGACATGTAAGTTGGAACACTGGACAGCACAGCACAACTCAATGAGGATTGCCGACGTCGAACTGAATTACAACAGCAACAGATGAAAAGTTAGCCGTCACACAAGCATCCTCTAAGCAATGTCAGCTCATGATGAAATCCGGTAACCAATCAAACCCCTACAAAACAATACTTGAATATCAATGAGATACTCACTGGCGACATGCCCTATTCAGGTAGGTAGTTACCTGGGGTTCCAGTGGGAAGTCATAACCAGTAGGTTGCGGTAGGTTGGGTGTGAGGACAAATACTCCCCGAAGACATTGGCTAGCGGTTGCGCTATATCGTGAATTGGCAGAAGTTAGAATTCATGGACTGGCCATTGGATCGAGTCCCAGTGGCTTAATGGTATACAAGCTCACTAGCCTTGTAACCAAAAGGTCCTGGGTTGGAACCACCATAAGGGCGTACTGCTGCAGAGTCCCAAACTAAGATGGAGGAAACATATACTCAGTACTTCCTGTAAGTTTTCCGATGCTTCTTTAACTGATATCAGCTCATGATGAAATCCTGAAACCAATCAACCAAATCCCTACAAACCAATATTTGATTTTTCTGCTGATTGTTTAGACTGATGTGTTCGGCCTCTATTGATATATTGGTTCCCAGTGTGAACGATTCAGTGATGTCTTCGGATGGTGACAAGCAGTGGATTTTAGGATGCGAATTTCGTCCTATCTCGGACTAGTCATCCTAAAAATTCCAAACTGAATTATTAATAAATAATTACTGAAACCCATTACACAAGACCAAGTGACCAGTGGTTGACACTTAGGCGTTTGAAACGATGACTAATGAGTTCAAATCTCAGTGGAAAAACTATCACTCCCTGGGTAGTTCAGGTGCATTCAGCTAACGAGTCTCAGGCAGAATGAAATGCATATCCTGGCTGTATTCCACTGCTGGTCACCATCCGTCAAATTATCTCAAATCGTATGCTTTTTTTCGGACAAATATATTATTTTTCAAGTGCTGCATATTCTGCAGGGTTTTGAGTGGTTTCAAGTTGGATTATAAACTGACTTCAGCTAGACAACCCCCTGATCGATTGGCTCACTGACTACTTTCAACGTAGAACTTTAGACCGATGTGCAGCAGTTCGAGTCGTCACACTCTATGTAGCCCACAAAGCAAGAAAAGAAAGCAATAGGAAGCGCAAAATGGAGGCAATAAACTGAGACTTGAGGCAAAAAGAATAGTAATGTGGAAGAAGAATTTAATTTTACTGGATATTATAAGTCAGAAGGAGTGGATGCATCTGCTCCAGTCAATGAGAACGATTTCGAGCAATATCACTGATTGTATCCAGCCGTCATTGGTTTTTACAGTTCCGAGGACCCCAACCAGTCAGGAAGTCTATACCTTCCTGCTTGACTGGCTTAAACTAACTGTTGTGGATTGTATTGACTGATGAAGCTATGTTTTCCTTTGACCACCACTAGCTCTTCTCCAACTTGATCCATCCTGTGTCAACTAAAGTTGCCCATCGAGGAAGGCGATGATCAGGCATACGTAACGCATGTCCTATTCTCCACTGAAAAGAAGGGAGTGTTGGATAGGCACTTTGTCCTAGTTTGAGGCTCTTTAGTAGTATGCAGAAATATCTCCATGATGCATCATACCCAGGACTCGAAGCTTATAAAGTAAGCTGGTTGCTTACTCAGACACTGGGACGAAATCCAGTTATTACTATTAATCATTTCGTTTCATCCATTTGGATTCCAGTTGACAAATTGCCTGGAGTCTGATGTCACTAGAGGGTTGCCTCAGTGTATATCATCGAACTCTGTTTGCTTCTTCGTATTTTTGGGTAGTAAATCCTTAATTCGTTGTATATATATATATATATATATATATATATATATATCGTCAGTGTCCGAACATGAAGAGATCTTATCATGTAGTGCGAAAGCACCGATTGCTGTAAACGCATAGCATTTCTTGGATTAAAGAACCTGTCTTGTATTCTCCATCCAGAAGCCGATAAAAATTGTAATAATTATCAATCGAATACATGATAAACGATATTTTGCCCTGATACTAGTGAAAAATACCTCCCAGTTACAATGAAGGATATCAGTTTTCAAGTTTCGTGGCTATAAAAATGGTTTTATCTATGCGAACAACGAAACTCTCTCCAACCACCTGTTTATTTACAAGAAAAATACAAATAATAATAAAGAATGATAGTAAAACACCTTAATCTTTAGCCTAACCCTTACCTTGGCCTTAATAGTAACCCTAACTACAACCGTGACTGGCTGGTTTCAAGACAGAGCTTTGCATGGAAGTAAAACACTTTGAGTCTCCCACACTCCATGAAGTATACAAAGGAAGATGAAAGAGGTAAAACAAGGATCTGGAAATACCATAATAGGCAGAAATATGAGGGATAAACAATAATAATGAGAGATGAGACCTTGGCGGCCTGCTTAAATCTTGGTCTACCACATACCTTAAACATTACAAATCACATTGCATCTAACTTCTTATTTCTAATTGATTTTTAATCACTAAATCTTATTCAAATATGACCTCTAATCGGAATATTTATTCTCGTGACTATTTATTATCCTTAAAACCTACTGATCTGCAACTCCATAAAAAAGACAAAAAAAAGCATCATGCTGGCTGGCAAAGAGCATTAAAAAATACCCCTATTCAATTCATGACTGTTCCCGCAATTATGAGTACCAATTGTCGCTCCCTGCCGGCTAAAATTAACTGTCTTCAATCGCTTGTGTCTTCCATTATATATCATAATACTGGGATTATATCACTTCAAGAAACATGGTTTCATGATCTATATGATGACAATCTAGTGTATCTAAATAATTTCAAATTATTCAGACAAGATCGTTGTAGTTCCAGGAAGAAACGCGGTGGCGGTGTCGCCATCTTCATCAATTCACAATGGTGTACGTCTAATAATGTATGTTTCAAATTCTCTAGTGACAATATTGACTGTCTCACCGTTAAGTGTCGACCTAAACATTTGTCAAAATACAACTACATTTACATCTCGAACATGTATATTGCTCCTGGATGCAACTCCACAGAATTATCTTTATTTGCGGATGAATTTACTTCCCTTGCTGCCACCTCCTTCGGAAATTCCTTGTCTATAGTTACTGGTGATTTTAATTCTAGTGATCACAGCTTCCTAATTTCACTTGGACACGATAATATTGTCAACTTCCCGACTAGAATGGACAACACTCTTGATCTTGTGTTTACAAATGACGCAGGAATATTTGAAGCTCGAAAAAGAGCCCCACTACTAAATTCAGATCACTGTATCATAAGAATATTGCCCAAAGTATATGGAAAGCAGCACAAAAGGGTCTTCTTACACCTTGGAAAGA